ACATTACATTAGAACTACATTTCACTAGTCAAAAACCAAATCTTCCAAGCATATGTAACAGTTTTATGGTATGATGATATTCATTTTTGTTGGGTTTGAGTGCTTTCCTGGTCAAATATTGGAAGAGATTGGAAAGGAAGCATGAGTATATAGGGGTGAGAAAAAAAATTGAAAAAATTAAAAATTAATTTGAAATTATAATATTCAATTTAATTTAAATAAATACTTTTTTATTTGGTTCAAATTAAATTCAGATATTAAATATATATTAATTCGGATTAAGACATGAAAAATTAAAAAAAATTGAATCGAATCGAATTATATTTTAAATTTTTATAAAATAAAAATAATTATTTTATATAGAAATCTATTTAATATATTAAAATATTATTAAAATAATTATAAATAATAAAAATTTAAAACTTAAAAATTAAAAAACCAAACTAAATCAATAAAATCTAATTCAAATCAAATATTTAATGTTAATAATATTATATAATATAAAAAATTTAAATCAAATCCGGTTCGGATTAACCATTAACATTCATGTTTTAGTAATTTTTTTTTAATTTTGGTGGGTAACGTTTGGGTGAATTACACTAGTGAAAGAGATGTGGATAAATGGTGACAACAGGAGATATTGAAGTGAAAGAACAACTGTCTTAATATTCGAGTTGGATATGGCTCCCACAAGAAATCATACCTCGTAGGTGCTAAGATTTTTGAGGCAAACAAGAAATGTTAGGGTAGCCTTTTAAGTTGCCATTGCCATAACATAGTAACCTTGTAAAAGCCAGCCCCACAAACTCATAGAAAACAAAATCCCTCTCTTTCTCAGTCACCCATGAAAATGAGTGAAAATACATGCCTCGAGCCCCATGCAGGGCAAAGGCAAAATCTATTATTCAACCAACGAGGATGAAAAATAACAGCAAACCGAACATGTTGCATCATTCCTCGTGCTTGATATTGTGTAAGAATCCCTTCTCCTCCCTCTGTCCTTTCCTTCCCTTGATAAAAAAGAAAAGGAATATGCAGAATCTTTCTGATAAAAAATGAATTTGCTCCAAGCAAGAATCATTTTACTGTGTCACACTTCTCTCTATCTCTGACTTACCCCAATTGCCACCACTTTACACAACTACTATTACTGGCTTATTCCTTTCCTTTCCCGTACAGTTTTAAGTATGCTGTACTGTACATGAGTGTTCTGTCCCACCCAATCATCTCCGTCTGTCTTTGGAATAAGATGTGCTTTATATACGATAGTTTAAAAATAATAGTTGAAGATAATATATTTGAGATGATTTTAATAAAATAAAAAATTATCGATTAAATTGGAATCTAAAACTTTTACGTCGATATGAATGATTTTACATTTGACGATGGAACCCCAAACCCCCATCTCCTATGTTACATACTACTAAGATTTTTCTTGGCTACATAGTGTCCCTAGGGATGGACTTCTCATTTATGCTTGCTAAATTTCATGTTTCTTTGTTGTTTTAGTTGTGCTGCTAACTCTTCATTTTTGAAATATCCCACACAACCAACATGAATACGAAATTTTGATTCTTTAGGCAAGAAAAAAGAGAATGAAAGGCAATATGAAGAACTTTAGAATGCTACAAATTCAATCCTTTAAGACATTAACTCAAATGTTGCAATGTCAATGACATAACCATGAGTCATTCCTTATACCCTGGGAGCCAAAATTGGACCAACCCAGAGTAGCACAAAAAACAAGTGGACCCATAGAAAAGTGAGTAGAAAAATGCGTGTTTTCGTTCTGCAATGGGAGAGAATTTCAAGAGATTTCATAAAATTTAGAGAGACCCCAAACACTTGTTTTTGATGCCATTGATAATGCCAATTGGGACCAAGGTGTCAGGCATGGATATGTAAACATGGAGGCCATCATGTTCCCTCTGCTCCAACTCTCTGCCCTCTTTCAAAAGCTGGTTCCTTAAGATTAACTTATTAAACCCAACTTTTCTACGTATCCCTAATTCATAACCCACCCTCGTTTTTAACATTTTTTTTTCTCTGGACAAATCTCTTTGAAAAGCTCCCTACATTTTCCTCACTTTCCACAATAAGAGAGCTTTTTTGGAAGAGCAAAGCGATATGTGATATGGTGATTAGGCTTTTGGGATAGTGGACCAACAGGTAGAGAGCACTGCCGACATCTTGGAACCCTAATTAATACTTGGTTCTAATAAGTGCTTAGAACAGCACTTATGATTAGCTGCTTTTTTTTTTTTCTTTCAAATCCTTATCTAGGATATGTTGTCAAAGCATATCTCACTTGAAACTTTGTTACTTAATTCTCTTTTTTTTAGTGAAAACACAGTAAAATTTTTTTTTCATCATATTATAATTACGTTTTTTTTTTTATTATATTTTTAAAATTTTAATCATAAAATAACATTACGGTGCAATATGAGTATCTCTCATCATCCTGCCAAAGGGAGCTTGAAACCTATGTGTGTAATTCGTTCAATTGGTCATCAATGGCTGAATCCAAAATTTTTTATTCTCAAGACCAATGAATTAAAGGGTTGAATCAACCTTTAGTTGATATTTAATTCTCTTTTTCTTTGACTCTTTAGAAAAACCCTTTTTTCCTTCTTAATTTAGGAATATTTGAACAACTCAAAACACATTTTATGTCTATGTAAGGTTTACTGAATTACAAAACGTAATTGAAATTGGTTTGTTTATTGGTGTAAATTGATAATTTGACATAGAATATTGGAATTGTTTAAGTACTAAGGATTTTCTTGCATCCCAAACAGGCCCTTAAGAAGCCCACCAGGTGGTTTCATTAGGCAGACAAAGAATCTATTACTCTAGAAGTAGGGAAATGAGACGAAGAAAAGAAGTGTATCCTGCTAAAAATGTAACATAATGATTATAATGTTGATATTGTTATGAGTAAGATTATATGCTTAACGTGACATGCATGATACAAAAGGCATCAAGCTTAAGAATTAATCCCTTTAATTAAATAATTCAATCCCAGTGTAGAGAATCATGTTCCACCAGTGTTCCCCTTTACATTTTTAATTATATGATGATCCCATTTTCCTCTTTTAAAACTTAACATTTAGTTTTTGATTTAATGTTTGGCACATAATTTTCGTGTTTCAAAAACTCGGATTTGATTCTCATTATTCATTGTTATTTCTTTAAATTGTTATAACACTTTGGGGATCGATCGACGAAAATTTTAAAATAAAAAAAAAATTATTATCAATTTTTTTATTAGATGTGATTTTTCGTATTAAAAATTTATTTTTTTAATAAAATTTTAAAATTTATTAAAACATAACTTTTGATTTATGAAAAAAAATTCATGAATACGATTATATATTAAAAAAAATTAGCACTTCAAAGTAATTGTTTTAAGCTTCATTTGGATGGACGGTGAGATTGAAAATAATAATAAAATTTATTATAATTATAATTAAAAAAAATTTTAATGAAAAATTTATGTTGACTTAATTTTATGAGAGTTAATTTTTAAATTCAATTAAAAGGATAATAAACTTAATCACATCACACTAAAATACGATAAAATCTAAACGATTATTTAAAAAAAAATGTCTATAAATAATAATTTAAAAGAAAATAATTGTCAATCTGACTTCAATTTTCTACTTTGATTCTTCCCAACTCTGAAGTGACTCGTTGACAGAAAAGCTCAAAAAAATTGGATTGGAGGGGTTGGGTTAAATTATGTCAATTGAGACCAAAATCCTTTTTCTTTTGGACAATGGAATGGTGTACTGTTCTTTGCCTGGTTTTCTTCTTATCTTTTTCTTTGATCAGTTGACAAAATTTGACATATTTGAGATTAGTCAAGGAACTTGTCATTAGTTTTAGAAAATATGTAACATAACCCGCATGGGATAAGCCATAAGCTCTGAATTTTTTAGACATAAAAAAATCAGTTTTTGACATTTGATTTTGAGTTGAAATTTGTACAGAAAAATGCATGCGCATGTTGAGACTCCATCACCTTATCAGGCTGTTAAGGTCAATTATCAATCATTGCCTGCTATTTCCAGACTTGTTCCAATTCAACTTTCCTTCTCTGTCAGTATTTTTGTTCAGTTGATAAGACTGGTGGCTTGAGTACTCAAAATTTGATACCCAGATGGAGAGTTTGGTTGGGAGTTGTCTTTGTGAGAGCATTCTGATAATGCAAAATTTCAGACATGGCATTCAAATATTATCATTGTTTGGTTATCCGAAAGTTTTGGTGTAAACTTGAAATATAACTTATTTTTCATGAAGAATTCAAATCTCCAAGCTTGAGCATTCCTTGATTTTAAATCTTTCTAAAGATTTTAAGTCACTCCTTGATTAATACATCATGTTTAATCAATTAACAATTGTTTTTTTGGTCAGCGTTTTTAAAATATTTCAAACATTACTTGGACTCAGACCTCGACGTCGACTATGTAGGAAAGCTTTGGGATGTGAATATGAAAGACAAGTTATTAGGAGAACCATAATAATGTTATGCAAAATTTAGCCTATATTTCAACAAAGAATATTTTGTATTTAAATTCATTTAATATTTATATTATATACATATTTTTAAATATTCGTTTAAACTTAATATCATCATTCAAATTTATATTCATTTAAATAAATATTATTCATTTAAATATCTAAATCCATTAAAATATTTATTATTTAAATTTTTTTGTCAAAATATAAGGAAAACAAAATTTTAATTTAAAATTTAAATTCACTATTAATTAATAATAAATAAAAATTATTTTTTTAATTTCTTAAACTTTCTATAAACGTAAAATTTTATATGTTTTACATAAATAAACGAATAATAAATTCCGATATAAATATTTATTATTATTCATTAAAACTTAAAACGAATTCGAATATTGAATATTCAAAAAATATTATTCGTACCTATCACAGATAATAAATCTCTTATTCGAATTTATTAATTACCTGTAACAAATAAAATAATAATAAATATCCATTTATTTCCGATCCATGGTCATCTCTGTGCAAAATGGTTAACTTCAGTTTTGGGATGTATTTTCTACGAGGCTAATTCCATGACCCACAAGATTGCTGGTTCGAAAATGTGAGCTGAATCAGAACAGGCGTTTCTTTGGTGGAATTCGGTGCATGTGGGCATCACAAGGAGATATAACCTCTTGTCGATGTTAATACAAGTCTAAAATAAATGCCAAATAAATTTCAATGAGAGCAAAATTAAAACTACTTTTAAACTAGTACTAGTAATTACATAATACAAAAAAAAAAAAAAAGTGGTAAGATTTCAGTAGAGGCAGCTGACCCCATTGTGAAAAATCCGTCGGCGTTTATGAGAGGTATTGTATGCCATCCATTACACTTTTGCAGTAATAGCAGATGGGCACTTTCCTAATGTATTCCACAAGATATAGTCCCCAGAAGTGACCTGTTTAAACCACAATTGTCATCAACAAAAATGTACATTTCCTTGAACGCAGAAGGAAGAGGATCGGGGACATATACAATCGACCGTCATTTCAAAAGGAAAATAAAGCTAAATCTATCAAAATTTAAATGGGTTTTGAGACCGTTCTACCTGCGTCGATAACTCCACAGGTGCTTTTACAGCAGGATAGATGCTTACCTACATATAAAAGCTAGCAACTTTAGTATAACATAAACAATCTCCATTTATGTTCTTGTTAGTTGTTACATTATGCACAGTGTCAACTGAAGTTAAACATGGGAAGCAAGTTGGAGAAATGTAGACTTACTGATTTGGGATGAATAGACATTCCAGATAATGATGCCCCAACAACCTTGGAAGATACCTGTAACCATGAGTGAGGATCAGGTCACAAATCCATGTTTGATGTTACATTTCCTTTTGGGGACTATTTTTTTTTTACTTTAGTTAGGAGTTGCAATCAGTTTTTTTGCAACTCCTTGAATGGTGTCATCGCAGCCCTTAATCAAAAGGGAACCAATATTAGAAGAAGGGACCAGGACAGAAAGCCTGCTGAAGATGGACCCTTAAGAGCCAGCCCTATAAGGCTAGGGGCATTCTCTCGAATTGAGTCATAGCCATACTCTGGGAAAGAAAAAGTTCATTGCCGTTTAATAATATTTTCATTTCCATATATAGCTAACAAGCACAGACCAGACAAGGCCAATCGCTCTTTTTTTTTAGGGTAAGAAAAGAAGTCCGCAGATGATAAATCACAGCATAAAATACAGTAACTTGAAGGAATTCCCGAAACTCAAAAAAACAACCAAAGGCTAAAAAAGTCAAGATAAAAAAACATACTTTAGCATAGTTGTATGCATGCCAGCTAAATGGCTCCTCTAGGTCAACTGGAGTAAGATCCTTACTCATTTTCTCCATTAAGAGCTCCTCTATGTTTACCATATTATTAGTATTCTCTGTCTCATTGTCACTATCTTCATCTGTCGCACTTTCAAAAACTGACCTTAAGGAATTTAATCTTTGTGTCTGCCAAGGGGCAAACCTAACTGTTCCAGGGAATGTTGCCTCAATACTCTTCCTAGAAAGCCCTCGTCCACTTGTGATAATTTTCCATTCAACAGAGTGCTCTGCAAATGAAACTGTTCCAATCGATGGGGTCCCATCAAAAGATAAAACCCTTCTTCTTGGAAAAGGCATAGTCACATTACAGAACTCCATCGTCAAAGGAGACTGATAACCTTCCATTAGGTGCAATTTGAACAAAAATGCACCTTCATCCTCAGAGACCATAGACAATTGATAGAATCCCTTTACAGGAGGTCCAAGACTGCATGTTGCTTGATAGCGCATCAACACAAAATTACCCAAAGGTGGTGAGAACATCAAAGCGTGCTTATCTACATTTTGTTCCGGAACCTGAGCACAGGGATGGAATGATAAAACCTCAATTTTAGCTGTGCTCAACCCTGTCAAGGGGAATGCCACATCAGGCAGTCCTTCCAGTTCTGCTCGGCAGTTTATCTGCCCAGAGACTGATAAACTATCTGGAGTCTCATCTCGATCATACATGGCAGCATGAAGAGTTTCATGAATGGTGAATAGCAATCTCTGCTTTCCTTTGTATAGATAGGGCTTCCATACCGGTTGCTTGAGGTCTTGTGGAGGCATATCTAACGCAGAAAAGCCATTTACCTTGATAGAGAAAATGTTGGAATAGCTGAGGTCCAAGGGAGTTCCTGTATAAAAGATAAATACTCATCATTAAATAGTGTTAGGCAAACTAATGATAATCCACAATAAAAAAAATATAAAAGGACATCTGTGATGAGAAATACCATAACAAAAAAATACCAACCAAAAGGCATTGCGCTACTTATGAAACTTCTAAGTGCATCTTTATCCAAAAGCCTTGAACCAATTTTTGGAACATCAGATGCAAGAGCTCCTATCACAGCAGTGCCAGATGGTGTAGAAGATGCAACAGGTGCAGCTACTGGCTTGGCCCTTGAAGAGATTCCTGATATCCCAATACTTCCAGTGAGTGAGTCTAACAACCCACCCACTGATGGTGATGAACTTACAACCACCTCAGGCTCTACTACATCCCCAGTAACTATGTCACCGATGGCATGAGCCACCATGAATGCCCTGCAGCATAAGAAAAGAAAGAACTAAAACAATAGGCCACCTCCCTTTTTCCTAGTAACATAAAGGATGCAAAATTGTGTAATGAACTGAAAGATAATGAACCTTTTGAAAAAACTGAATTAATATATATATATATATATATATATATATGTATGTATTCAGTTAATGTGTGAAACAGTTGTATGACAAACTCAATGCACAAAACAAGCTGACTGAGCACCAGCTTTACTGACAATTACAACATAACAAATCACGGTAGTAAATTCTGATAGCTTTCTGTTCCATGTAAGGCATGTCACGGAAGGTACTCATAACATCGAGGACACAATAATTTCACATTCATTCATAGCTATTTCTAAATTAAAGATACACAGAGTTATACAAAACAATAACTTATAGAAAATGACTATGAAAAGCCAGCTTAAAATAGAGGAAGCTGAACAAACAGAGGAAAAGGAAGAAAAAGAAAGAGTTATAGATTTTTTTTTTTTAATGTGGAAACAATCTGCTGGCAGTACCTTAAATGAATAATACAGCATGTAACTTACCATACCCTGTGATGGATGGAAGATCAAGGAGTACAGAAGATAAATATTCATCTGCCATGACAGCATTTCCACAATCAGATCTCTTACACAACCTTGCGTAAGCCTTTACATATCTGGGCTCAAGTAAAGGCAGTATAAGGATGCAATACGGACCCTTTATGTGCAACGCTAAAGGCCACAATAGATTATTCTCTCCTTCCTCCTCTTTGTTTATGTAAAGGCCTATAATATGACGCGTAATCGGATCATCAACCCATGAATCTGATCCTTCTCTTGACTGTATTACCCGTATACCAAATCCCCGGACAGACCCCTCCCTGTAAAACACAGCAAACAAGTAAAAATTAACAAAACACATATATCAGAATCAAAGTTAAAAATTGAAAAGCAATTAACACCATTAAAGCAGGATTATATCAAACAGCTATGTTTGTGTGTTACATTTATAATATTCTTTGTTTTTTAACCCAAATGCATTGTTTTAGTTTTTGCTTTCGGAGGCAAAAGATAAGTTGGTAAAATAACAAACAAATGGAGCATTAATAATAAGGCTTTCGTTGGATTAAGCAACTATTTAATTTCACAGCATAATTACCTAGGCCATAATAATAACATGCGATTCAAGCTTAAAAAAAGTAATAAAAGCGAATGTTCATGTCAGTAATGAAAAAGATTTTTAAAGAGCTACTGGAAGATTATCTAACCTTCTCCTTCTCTCAGAGAAAGCGGCAGCTAACTCTGAATCCGAGGGAAGCGAAGAAAATACAGTGTACTTGACAGGATCGTCATCCGAGCTATGGCTTTCAGTTTGGCAAGCAGCTAGCCACCGCTTCTCCACCACCGGAAACCTCCTGAATGTTTAAACAAACTAAATCAAAATTTTCCATTTTTTAAAATTATTTGGAGCTTAAGCATGCCTCTTAAGTAATATCGAGTTCTATTTCCAAATCTTTTTAAAAAAAGTAAAAAAAAAAAAGAGAACAAATCCCTAAAATATTCATGTAAATGAGAGATTTTGAAATGGAAAGCGAGTTCCGCTGATGGATAAAACCTGGAGAAAACGACGGCGTCGAGATTGTTGAGGATCCACAGAGCTCTGATACTGCAATCGTTAGGCATGGATTGGATTTCACTTTTCGTTTTTGCTTGAAGAGAAAGAGAGAAAGATTGACAATGGGAAAAAACGAAGGTGCCGAGTAAAGTAGGAAGACGGGTTCTTTTTTGGAATCTGGTGACTGTCTGGATTTGCATTTGTAAGGACAATCATAAATCGATTTTAATTGAATTAATTGTTCGAAACGAATTATTTTGATTAATTAATCAGTTGTTGAATTAGTTTTAATTAATTAATAAAAATAATTTTAAAATTTTTTTAATTTTTAATTAATTTAGTTTGATAAGTAGATTAATAAAAATATAACAAAATTTAAATATAAACAAAAAAATATAAAAAATATTTTATTTTTTTAGAGTTTTTAATATAATATTTTAATATTTAATTAAATTTATTTAAAATATAAAAATTAAAAATTTAATTTAATTTAAATATATTTATTACTCAATTAATTAAAAAAATAATCGAATCGGTTGAATTTAATTTAATCAATTAATTTTTAAAATTAATAAATTTAATTTGATTAATAAAAATAAAATAAAATAATTTAATTAATTTAATTTTGAATAATTTAATTAAACCAATAAAATAAACACATGGCATATTTTTTTCTTATTAAAATCCGATTTTTTGGGGCCAAATTAAAATCCCAAACAGAGAAGGAAATTAAAGAAGTAAAGATTGCACAGAATTATTAAATTTAATTTGATTGATTGTTTTGTTATTTATCTTTTATTTTTTAGTTTTTATTATTATTTTCAATAAAAATATAAATAAACAGATTTTTTTATATATATATTCGAGTCAATTCATAAGTAATTTTTTTTTCCTTGGGATTAATATCTCTTACAATTTGTCAAGAATGGCACATGGGAATGGAATTAATACGTGGTAAATTTAAAAAATAAATAATAATATTCTCTCATCTTACAGAAAAAAGATTTAATATGTCATAGCTGCAGCTTTTATTCGTTAAGACTTTTGACAAATATTTTGAACAAAAATGTAGAAAAAACTTCCTAACCAAAGATTTTATCACTAAAAATATAAAATCTTATTAAAGAAAATGCATATAACAAGAACCTTGATAATAAATGGAAAGTGACTCTGGAAAGGGCAAAAAGAAAAACCATTAAATAAGCAGGCAAGGCATCGTGTCAATGTGACAAGCTTTGATATGCACAACTTGATGTCCTAACTACAGGTCCACACAGAGATAGGAGATGACTGAGCCGGCTTTTCTTTTGGTTCTAGGGCTAACCTTCCATTTCTCAACCAGAACCTTCTTTATGTTGGGGCAACTAGAAACCAAGGTGGCAACTCCGTTGGCGGTTATGCTAGGGCAGTAAACCATGTGGCAAGACTCGAGCATTCGGCAATTTTTAACGAGGTGGGAAAGACCTATGTCTGTTATTCGGCGGCAATGTGAGAGCACTATATCCTTGAGTAAGGGACAACCTTCTCCTAACTCGGCCAGTGCCATATCCCCCAAATTCTTCCATGAAGGAATTGATAAGCAAGTATTGAAAAGGAATTGCAAGCAAAATAAAATAACAGTCAGATTGAAGTTCACTTGAGATTCCGAAAACAAAATATTTTTATCAGAGTACAGCATCAGAAGAAGTAAGCATAATGACCAGAGCGTACAAAGAAAGTAGAACAGAAGCAAAGGGGCGGAGTGGGAGAGGGACACACCTGGAGAACACTGACATCTAGGTAAGTGAGTTGAGGGCATCCTCTTGCAATGGCTACAATTCCAGCATCCCGAATTTGGTTGCAGCCACTGACATTTAGATGTTCTAAGGGGCATCCCTGACCTAAGGCAATAAGAGCCTCATCCTGCACCCTAATAGAAAAAGGCTAAAGTTAGATAAAATGCCAATTAAGGGAACCATATTTCAGACAAAACAAAAATCAAGAACAGCTGAAAACATGAAACAGCATGAAGAAATAGCATTATCACACAAACTAAGCCAGAAGGAAACTGCAATGAGATGCACCTATCACAAAATCGGAGACTAAGATCAGTGAGAGAGTGACAATGCTCACCAACAGCTATGATTCCCTTGTTTCCAACCTATCGACAATGGAAGACATACAAGTTATGATTTATATCACAATTTATAATTGCTGAAACTGAAAACAAATGACTGCCAGCATCGAAAAGATACGAGCAAGTCTACATAAGATGGAGACTAAAAAGATGAAGCATTAAAAACTATCAATAAATTTCTTACTTCAATCATTTCTGAAAATATTTTGGTTCAAAACTCCATTCTTAAAATAATAACCATCTAACTGCCATCTTACACAGAAAAGAAAAACATCCTACATAAGACATCAGTGAGAGAGGGAGGAGGAGGAGAAATCTCGTTAAATAGACAGTTTCCCTTTCCAGGCAATAGGCAAAACCATTTTCCTAATGTAGAACAGGATAGCACCCAAGCAAGTCAGTAGTAGTGGTTCAAGAATATTGTAGTTGGAGGAAAAATTCCATCACACAGAGAGAGAGAGAAAGAGACCTCATAACATCTCCAAATATGAAGTTTCCTCAGATTTCTGCAACCTTTTGCTATACTGCAAATCGCTTCATCTCCAATGCTAGAGCAATCTACCAAGTGAAGGGCTTGCAAGTATTTACAGCCCCTTCCAACTTCATGAAGAGCAAAATTACCAATCCTCTGGCAGTATAATAAAGCCAACTCAGTGAGGCGCCTACACCAAGTCACAAGCTTCAGAATCGACACAGTTAAAAATTTGCAATAAAATTTTACGTGGTAATTTTAATTAACTACATGTGGAAAACCAAAGAATGCCCAACAATAGGAACTGCATATGATCCCTAGCTCCTGCTAAAGTCAGGGCCTCCTGTCCCTTTAAAAGAGTGGTAAGGGAAAATAACAGAACATACGGGCATGATTTCCCAACAGACTCCAGTCCAATGGTTCCAATGTTGTGGCAGCCATTAACTTCAAGATGTGTAATTTCAGTGCAGCCAGTGGCGATTGCCTTCAGACCCTTGTCACTCAGGAAATAGCAATCACTCAAAGTAAGATTTTTTAGCTTCTTGCACCCTTTTCCAATAGCACGAAAACCACTGAGACATAAATCAGATGTATACTTCAGCAGTCATACCATGTATCATAAAACATAATAAATAGACCTTAGAATTAGACAACAAAACTTTGGGGTCCACTTATATTCCAAAAGACAGAATTAGAGGGGGGGAACAAAATGGTCAAATAGCCTTAGGCATACAATTCACTTATGGTGATCTTTCTAAGGAATAGTAACTAACTTGTCTGTAAATTGCTGGAAACTGTACAAGGCCAATATTTCCAATGACAAACAAGAAATTCCCACTGCCATCAAAGCCTCATCTGTAACACTAATACATTGCAACTTCAAGACTTTCAAAAGAGAACAGCCTCGGGCAATAGCAAGGATCCCTTTATTGCAGATAAACTCGGAATCCAGTGACAAGGTATCCAGAGATTTGCAATGAGACCCCACAGCTTCCAGTGATTTATCAGTTATTCCCGCACAAGCAGCAACACCAAGAGATTTCAATGATTTCCCACAACCAGTGGCCAAATCAACCAATCCTGCATCAGTCAAGCTTTCACAGAAACGCAAATTTAGGTCCTCAAGTTGCTTGCAACACTTGCCAACAACAACTAGACCTTGATCTCCAACATAGCAACCCTACAGAAAAACATCATAGGCAACTAAACTGCAAGTAGTGCATTGCTTAATGAACATGACAAGTAGAGTGGTATATAGTCGAAATTGTTGAAAAAATAATCCATAAACAACCCAATTGAGCAAACGTGATAGAGTAAAATATCACCAGTCTCCACTCAAATATGATGAATTACCTGCAAATCCAAGGATTTCAAGAAAGAGCATTTCTGTGCAAGGGACACTATACCCAAACTTGTAACATTATAACACCAGATTAAGCTCAACTTTTCTAGTTTAGAAAAGCCATCAGCGACAGCAGTCAAACCAGCATCTGTCAGACAGAATGATTCGCACTCCTCTTCTTCGTACCCAATTTTTTCAGCCGCGTAGTGTACCTTGAGAGATGTCAATGAATTCCCATCTCTGCCATGCTTTTTCCCCTGCACCAACAACTTAAACTACCTCATTAACATGTCTATCATTGGGTCGTTGATTTTACTACTTCCTTATTGCTTCCCCATGGAAAAAGCAATATTTTTGAAATTTTAAATATTAAAAATGTATTTTCTTTTATAACAAAAATTAGACTTGGTAATCTAAAACATACACAGTGACACAACATGAATACAATAGGAAAAATAAACACGAAGATAACACAGGTTTAAGATTTTAACAATAACTATACTCGGCTTAAACAAAATAAAAAAAGTATTTCATATTTTAATGATGAATTATGACACATAATTTTAGTGTAAAACATAATATGAATACACAAATTTTAGTATTTTACAGCACACGAATAGCCGAATCCTTGGGTCTAACAAAAATAAATGATATTCCTTTTACATGTATTGATTAATTATACTACAATCCCTATTATATTTTAGTAATTTGTTTTACAATTTGCTAAGTAAATAACAAAAGCGATAATCAAAGTATTTAACTATTGTAATAATTATCATTTTCAGAATTCAGGGTGCATGAAATGCCAAACTTATTTAAAAACTACGCAAAAAAAAAAAACTGAAATTTATCGTAAATTGACGAATTTTAGATTTGATTACCACGTTGACAGGTAAATAAATGGATAATCTCTCGTCAATATGAACGGCTTTGACATTGATGAACCGTTGAGCGAGGAGCTTGACGAAGTGGTCGGGACTTCCAGAGGCGCCGATTCGGAGGGTGGTGCGACCAAGCCGTTCGAGACGGAGCCACCGTCTGCAGACGAGGGAGCAGGCATCGTGGCTGGCTTTGGAATCCACCCGTCGTAAGATCTCCAAGATCAGCTCGTCCGGAAGACATGTGTTGATCCAATCATGGCCACGCATCGGGGACTACATAGAGTTATCCGTACTGGAAAATTTTATAGTCTTTTTTTTTTCTTCTCCAAGATCAAGAAAAGGAAAATTGAAAATTATTGTAAATATTTTGACGGAAATAGTTTTCTATGA